AAGATGTATCATGGGGGTGTTGCAACCTAGAAGACACAAATTTGACTAACAAGTTATAAGTACATGAGTCCAAAAATTATGGAAAAGTAAAAGAAAAGATAATTCTGACCATTGTGAAAATGGTAGTTCATGATCTTTTGTTATGATATACCCATGATTTATGTTTTTCTTAGCCTGCTGTAATAAAATAACTATACAGATATTGAATAATTTAAAAATTTTCACTGCTTTTGAGTCACTTCTGACTCACACCAACCTTCCATTGGATTTCCACGGCCGTAAATTGCAAGGGGAAGAGATTGCCCATCTCTCTCCCACAGAGTTGTTGGTGGATTCCATCTGGTGAAGCACAACCTTTGGGTTATAATTCCTTAAAGATCACACCATCATCAGCCACTATATATTTTTAAATATATGTTAAAATAAAATTTAAAAATCACTTGTCTTATGATCCAGTGACCAGCCAAATATACTAAATCACAAGACTCACCAAGTACCCAAAAGCATCCTAAGCTCTACTTAGAATCAGGCAAATTTGGAAAATAATACAGAAGTGGTTTTCCAAGTGGCCTTAAGCCAGTAACATCAGCATCACCTGGAACTTATTCAGCTTAGGGAGTGGGGGGGGAAGAGTTGCTTAAAGAATAATGGTGAATCCTTGAAACATAACATGGATGAGGTCAGAGGACATACTAAGTGAAATAAGTCACTAAAGAAAGGACAAATATGAGACCACAAAAAAATCTGTAAAAAGTCAAGAAAAGGTTTACACACCAAAAGCAATATTCTTTGATGGTTACTAGAGAAAGAAGGGAGGGGGGAGTCACTAAATTGTAAGCATGTATTGACTTGGATAAAAAGAAAGACAGTGTACAATAAAGGAGAAGTCAACATAAGGCAAAAGAAGACAGTGGAACACCAGAAGGTACACATGAGTGAAAGGCAACAACACTAAAAACTATCATATACATGGTCCTACTCCAACAGTAATAACAATTTACAAGTGGACACAAAAGTTGATATGAAAGCTGAACAAGTGTGCAATCGCATATATAAATACACTCCTAGGCGAACTCTGGTGGCGGGAGGCTGCGCTGCAATCTTAGAGGTACACGGTTCGGGTCTACCAGTTGCTCTGCTGGAGAAGGAGGAACAATCTCCTCCTGTATCAGATCTGATTTGATGATACACACAACAAATAATGAAAATAAAATTTAAAAAAATAAATACACTCCTAAGTATGTTTGCCATTAAATTGGAACTGACCCATAGCTGACCTTCCAGTGGGTTTTCAGTAAATTGCAGTAAAATGGGTGGAGCAGTGGTGCAGCTGGTAGTTTTGAACCACTTGCCTTTGGAATTGCAGCACAGCTTCTTATCACTAGATGAAATATAAGTTGTTGTGTAGCATCTTGTTGGAACTGACCCATAGCTGATGGCTCAGTGGGTTTTTAGAGGCATTTAATCACACAAGAGGACATTGTCCAATCCTTCTCCCATAGAAAGATAATCTGGTGGAACAGCGTTGCCAACCTGGCATGCTTTTCGAATCTACCATCTGCTTTGTGGAAGAAAGGTTATAAATCATTACCGGAAGAGATTGCCCCACCTTTCTCACTTGGAACAGTTAGTAGACTTAACTTTTCTGTTAGCCCAAAGGTGATGTAGGTGTTACATACTATCCCGCCAGCTCCTTTTTATCGATATCTCGCAGTTCGAGGCCACCAGCTGCTCTGCAGGATAGGGATGGGCAGTCTCCTCCCATATGCTTAACTGCCTCTGAAAAACCCACCAGAGTCAGCTATGGGTTGGTTCTGACTCGACGGTACACAAGTCTGTGTGTGTGTAAGAAGGTAATTTCTATATGAGTATTTGTGTACTGCAATTACATCTATGCATATAGAGGAGACAAGGTAATAAAAACTTAGCCACAACAAAATCCCTTGAAGAACTGTCGTTGGACTTTTGGGCCTAGAACCATAGCCTTGGGAGGCCTCTACATCAATTGGCATCAAATAGTCCACAAAGACAGTGTGCTATACTTTCCTGGTGGCCTAATGGTAAGGAGCTTCACTGACAACACAGAAACACTGGGTTGAGACCCACCAGCTGCTTCACAAGAGAAAGATGGGCAATCTCCCATATGATTTGCAACCTCTGAAAACCCAATGGAGAGTCATCTATGAATTGGTTCTAATTCAAGGGCACACAACAACAAACTGAGATCTTAAAAACTTTAAAAAAATATGCAAAACTTGATTTCTCCTTGTCCAGGGAAAAGAAGTGTGAATAACATTTTTAAAATCAGAGCAACAGTCCAGTGGACTAGTTAGACCACAGGAACCACAGCCTCCACTACTAGCCTGAGACCAGAAGAACCTGATGGTGCCCAACCACAACTACCAACCAGTTCTGATCAGGATTACAACAGAGGGTTCTGGACAGAGCAGGAGGAAAGTGAACAACAAAAACTCAAAATCATAAAAAGGACCAGACTTACCGGTCTGTTAAGTCTGGTGAAACCAAGACTACAACCCTTAAACACCCTAAGGGCTTGGAACTGAACATACCCCTGAGGGATAATCTTTCAGCTAAACAGTAGATGAGTTTGCCAATAAAGTGAACAATAATACCTGGGAAGAATGTACTCCTCAGGACAATCAATAATATGAGCTTAAAAGGGCAGCAGTTGTGCCCAAAGTAAAGCTCAGAAGACTGGAAACGACAAGAAAGAAGGATGAATTAAAATACATTTAACATGCAGAAAAACAACAACAAAAACCCCAAACACTTAACATGCGAAAAACAAAACAACAGGATACCCAGGGAGGAAGAGGCCTGTCAACATTGAGAGGATTATAATTAATGTCATGAAACAAAATGTGTAAATGTTGCATGGGAAACTGATGTTCTCTGTAAACTATCACCCAAACCACAGAAATATGTAAAAACAAAACAAAAAAGCCAGCTGACTCCAACTGATGGCATCATATTTCAACCCAGATGTGTCAGAGTAGAACCCTGCTACACAGAGTTTGCAATCCTGGTTTTTTTCAGAAGTATCACCAGGTTCTTCCACTGCTCGTCTGGATAAACTTGAAACTCCAACTTTTATATTTGCAGCTGAGCTTATTAACAGTTGCACCACTCAGGTCAGAGACTCCAGCAACATGTTAGAAACTCAAAATAACTGCCATCATCTCAGAGCAAGCCTCCATTGGTTGCCAAGGCTGTAAATAATATGGAGAGGAGGGTTGTTTCTCTTTCTACACAGTTAATGGTGGATTTAAACTGCCAGAAGAGTACAGCCTTTAGGTTAACAGCACAACTCAGACAATGCCACCAGAGGTCCCTCTGGGAACCTGTTAGAAATGAAAATTCTCATGCCCTTCTGCAGACCTAGATGGAAA